AAAAAAAAAACACCTTGTTTACTACATTTCCTGCAGCTTGTCACCCACAACCATACAGGTGGGGCCCCACTTTCTTTTTCTTTCCCATACAAATGCGCTTACCCCAGCTGGTGGTACAATATCAGGAGGCGGTATCGCCTCTCTGATCCTCTAGTTTTAAGAATAAGAATACTCAGTTCTCACCTGCAGTCACCATTTATGCTATGGTAGTTGATGAATCTTTGAGAAAGAGTTTATCAGCTAAGTAAAAATACATATTAACTTGTCCCAGGTCAAATAAGCTTCTGCAAATAATTGCCCCAGCAGACCGTAATATATATGCTGTTCCACTTGACCGGGAATGTTATTGATTATAGCTCATTATCCAAAATGTACTAACCTGACAAATCTGTTGTTGCAAAAATAAATGAAAATTATTAAGAGTACCACTGAATTATTATTGTACCACCAGCGTAGGCGCTGGCGGTACACATGGTTTTAGTCCCGACCTGCCTGTTCCGCCGGCTCCTGCGGCTCCGCCGCCATGTCATCGTTACCACTTCTCCTCCTAGACTACAAGGGCCTGCGTACCCATCTCTTGGATTTAGGTCACCTATAATCTCAACTCGTTCCACGTAAAATTTGGGCTTCATCAGTGCTGGAGTCTAGGTGTGGGGCTCATTGCAATGCACCAAAATTAAATGCTAATTATCTACCATACCGAAGGAATTATGGGAAAATTTTCTACAGACGGCTGACTGAAAGTCATATGTGGAGATTCCAAATATGCCCTTGAATTTGACCTTTGACCTTTGTTTCAAGGTCAAAGGGGCCAAAATTAAAAACAAGGCACTCACAGGGAGATAGTAACTGCTGGTTATTTTTAGGCATATGCGCATGCATATTTCCGTTACTACTAAATCAAGTGCTCAGAAGCATGCAGGGATTACAGACAGTATGTAAACAGAATGCCATATTTGCTTAGAAATAAATATAATTTTCAGTTAGCATGAGTGAAAATATACTTTGTTGTTCCATTCAGCCCAGCAAGGCAGTGCTTTTGATAAATTTGAGCGAGGTGCTTGAAATTTGAGCGCTCTTTAAAGGCACATACGAACTGAGCATCGGTGGAGGGCGGATTCCCAGTAACGCATGTTAACCACTTCTGCTAGTTTCTTCTACGACTCTAATAAATTGGACATGCCAAGGGATAAACTGAATAAATCACCCGATCAACCATAAAAGAGCTTTAGAGTGCTCCTTTCTTTAAATTTTTGGTGGTCAATTTAACCTACTTTCGTGACCTACTTTTCTGCCCCATTGACTTACAGCATAGAATGCTAGCAGAAAAATCTGTTCAAACATCACTTTCGGGTAAAATTAAACAATGCCTTTTGGTAATTCTCTTAGTTATACTACTTGAAACTATATGCTGGCATTTGGTTGGTTTTGATGACAAAAAACAAGTTGGAGTGTAGTGCTTGCGACAGGTCATTTATAAAGATTAACTTGTCCGATGAAATGATCATCAACATTTCTGAAACAATCAACAATATTTCCAACCGGCACAGTGAGTGCCAAATAATCATGCCATGTGGATCATTTGGGGAAAATGATTAATCGTGCCGGGGAAAATAAGATCGTGCCGGGTGGAAAATTTCCGGAAAAAATAATCGTGCCAGCACTATTATTTGGCACTTCAGAGTATATAACAATAATATAAGATACATTCGTCCTATTGCTCAAAATGCATTTATATCTACAATGTGTGCAATTCTAGGCTTTTCGTTATCCGACAAACTGTACAAAAACTCGCAACTTACGTCTGCAGATTGCATCACGCGTTTGGCACCGTTTTGGTCTGAAATGAACGCGAGAATCCATGTGACACCCCAACGTCATTGGCAACCGATGCCTTGACGACCGAGAAGAAGGGCATCAAAAGCCCTACTGACATGTACAGATTTTAGTTTTACTACAATAACAGCCGTTTTAGTGGTAAAATGCAATAGAATATATTTCCATGTGTTGTTTACAATGTATTTCTTACAGAATTTTGAATTTCGATGGAAGAGTTATTATTGCTTTAATTTTTTTTTATTTGATTGTCTTATATTTTATTTAAAAATCGTTTTATCTTATTTAATAGTTTTTTGGTTATAAATATCTGTAATTAATAGACCAAATAAGAGAACTAGGCCCAAATATGTTACACCCTGCATATCACATTAGTCCACATTCAAATCAATGGGAAAATGGGTGTTTTTTCCCTAAAGCATTATTTTTTATGACTTTCTAACGTTCAAATTTTTAAAAACATTTTTTTTGTGTAAAGAGGCATCCAAGTACATTTAAATTTTGCCAAAAAAATTGGGGTCCCCGACCAAATAAGATAACTACGCCAAGTTGAAGTGCATTACACCCAGTGTGACGCACTAGTCCCCATTCAAATCAATGGGAAAATGGGTGTTTTTTTCACTAAAATGTTATTTTTTATGATTTTCTAACATTTGAATTGTTAAAAAAAAAATTGTGTAAAGAGGCATCCAAGTACATTTAAATTTTGCCAAAAAAATTGAGGGTCACCTACCAAATAAGAGAACTACGCCAAGTTGAAGTGCATTACACCCTGCTTGACACACTAGTCGGAAGTCCCCATTCAAATCAATGGGAGAAATGGGTGTTTTTTCACTAAATCGCTATTTTTTTATGATTTTCTAATGTTCGAATTTTTAATTTTTATCATGGTTTGTGTGGAGAGACATCTAAGTACATTAAAAACTTTCATTATGTTTAACAGTTGAAGTGAGTATACTAGCTATTTTCAGATTTGTCATACTGATGCGAAGGTGTAAGCCATTAACTTTACAACAGAATTATTGAAGAGAGTAATAAGGGAAATACGACATGCATATGAAAATAGTTTATTGCTGTTATTTTTTATTTACGTAATGGATATAACATGAATGTGACATTGTAAGCACTGCGTTATCAAATAAAATGAAGCGTCTGATACAAAGTATCAAATGTGGCTTTCACGTGCTTGCTTGCGGTGTGTTCCATACACTTTGTTTACACTGACAAGTCAAGGTCAGAAGTGCACAGTTTTTTCTTTATAATATTACGCAGTTTCAATTTTGATTAATGAATTTTCTTTAAGCTGTATGGTCATTTTCTGAACATTTGTATAAGCTACGAAATATTTCTCATCGGAAAATCACCCAACAGCTTTCCAAGTCCAAATGAGTGACATCACGACGCACTTCCGGTTTTCGTCGAAATCTAAGTGTTATGGTTTGCAGCACATTCAGAGCATTCTACCTCAAAATATACGCAGCTGCTTTGATTGGAATTTACAACACTTATTCTTTACATGATATAGCACCTACGTGCATAATTCTAAGCTTTAGCTGTCATACTTTTTCTGCAGTGCCCATTCAAATTTGAAAAGGAGCTATTTTCCAAAGATTTCTTGAAGGGCAAGTCTATGCACGTTCTACAGTTGTTGTATGGAATCATAGTCGACAAATGTTGTCGAAAATCTGTATCGATCATACAGAGTTAAAGACAAGTTGATAATGTTTGTTTATCTTATAGATAATTGTTTTATATCCTAAAATTGATAAAACAGACTGAAATGTCGTTAGAAACGATTGATGATGCGTTGAAATTGCGCAAATCATCAAATTATGTAACGACCGATCTACCTTAAGATTTAGTCATGTTATGACATTAAATTGAATAAGATGATAAAATTAACTGTTTATTTAAAGTAAATAAATGAAAAAAAATGTATGAGCTTTTATTATTTATTTTTATTATTTTTACTCCCAGATTTCAACCCCTGTATTAGTAAATAATCTGAAGAACGTATGCTTACTGGTGCAATTAAAGCCGTCCCCTTCATAACCATAATCGCAAACACATCGGTAGCCATTTCTTTCATCACACCTCTCATTCAAGAATGGAACATATCGCCCAAAGGGTTCATAAATGCATATGCCATTTTCCCCACACCTCGCTGAAAACAAATAAAAAAATTCAATATAAGTTGGCACCTGGTCAAGACATGTCCCTTTCTATTATCGTCATTTGTGTTATTATAAAGACTTAGAAAACAGAAAATGGTTCAGAGTTAATATGCAGAAAAAAGAAGAAATAACATAATTTCAATGTTACATTTTCCTAATTTGCTTTTATTATCATTATTATTATTATTATTATTATTATTATAGCAGTGATGGAACATTCACCACTACGTCATTTGGCAGACTTTTACAAACTGGAGGGATGGATAAATAGGTCAATAAAGGGTAGCGGAGGAGATCAGCATTGGTCAGAATTATTGCGGAAGTGTGACATCAAGTGGTGTAAGAAGCGAAGCTGAGTGGTCATTTTTAGCTGGAGGTGAACAGGAGAGAAGACATGGACTCAGAGAAAAAAGCAGTTTTTCAAACAACATGGTAAGATAACATTTCTTCTTCATGCATTTTGGGCAGAGAATACTTGTAGAAATAATAGGCACATGATATGAAAATGTGACACGGAACTTGAAGGTGCAAAATCATGCTTAATTTGCAGACAACTTGTTTTGAAATACATGCTGCATCGACCGCCAGCGCGACAAAGAGCGTAAAAGGTAAAGGAATTCCCGGGAGGCTATAAATCGTTGTCATGTGGAATTTTGGCATTATATAATCTTATGTGTCTATATTTAAGTATTTTTGGGTGTTTTATGGTATGGGCTGCAATTATAACGATGTTTTAGGGTATATGAAGGACCTTGTGAAAACCAGGAATTAGTTCATAACTGACAACTGAGTCGCACCAATCCACAACAAGATATAGACACATAAGATTATATAAATGCCAAAATTCCACATGACAACGATTTATAGCCTCCCAGGAATTCTTTTCCCTTTACGCTTTTTGTCGCACTGGTGGTCGATGCAGCATGTATTTCAAAACAGATTGACTGCAAATTTAGCACAATTTTGCACCTTCAAGTTCCATGACACATTTTCATATCATGTGCCTATTATTTCTACAAGTATTCTCTGCCCCAAATGCATAAAGATAAAATGTTATCTTACCATGTTGTTAGAATAACTGCTTTTTTCTCCAAGCCCACGTCTTCTTTCCCATTCACCTCCAGCTAAAAATGACCACTCAGCTTCACATCTTACACCACTACACGTCACTTCCGGCACAATTCTGACCAATGCTGATCTCCTCAGGTACCCTTTATTGACCTATTTATCCATCCCTCCAGTTTGTAAAAGTCTGCCAAATGACGTAGTGAATGTTCCATCACTGCTATAATGATAATAATAATAATAATGATAAAAAAAGCAAATTAGGAAAATGTAACATTGAAATTATGTTATTTCTTCTTTTTTCTGCATATTAACTCTGAACCATTTTCTGTTTTCTAAGTCTTTATAAACTTACCTGCAGTGCAATATTGTCCAGAATAATGATTGGTACAGTTGCATTGGAAACCATGTTCAGGTGACTTTGTGCAAGTCCCACCATTTTGGCAAAGGTTAGGATTGCAGACGTCTAAAAATAAAATTTTCAAAAACAAAAGGTACCGGAGGAGACTGATTGTGCCCGGAAGTTTTGCATCTTACACCACTTTACGTTACATGACATCACACTTCCGGCACAATTTTAACTAATTCTCATCTCTTCCGGTACCCCTTATTGCATGTTAGGCATGCTCTTTCAGTGTACATTTGTAGCTGATGTATTTGGAATTTAAGTACTTGAATTAATTATTTCACCAGGCACTGGTGGTACACAGTGATAAGTCCTGAACTGTGTTGTCTGTCGATATACCATGAAAATCTGACTCCCCTAAAAGGTGAGTCCCCAGTCAGATTTTCATCATGAAATCAGAAAATCTGACTTTCAAAATCAAAATTTGACTCCCCAGTCAAAATTTCATGATGAACTTTTGACTCCCCCATGGAATTTTGACTCCTCTCACAAAATTCATAAACCTTATTTAATTTGAGTATATGACCTGTATCTTGTAGTATGCATTATGGAGGATTCACTGGCACTTTCTGTTAGTATGCAGG